TAATTAGACCTAATTAATCTCACTAAGCATTATTTAAATTAGGCTTAATTAAAATTAAACCATAATTAGAACTAATTAATCTCATTAAGCCTTACTTAAATTAATTTTAATTAACCTTAAACCATAATTAGGTCTGACCCTAATTAGACCTAATTAATCTCATTAAGCATTGCTTAAATTAGGCTTAATTAAACTTAAACCATAATTAGGTATCATTAAGGCTTACTTACATCAAGCTTAATTAACCTTAAACCATAATTAATTCTAACCCTAATTAGACTTAGTTAATCTCCTTAAGCCTACATTAAGCTTAAATGAACATCACAACAAATAATTAGGTCTAACCTTAATTAGACCTAATTAATTTTCTTAAGTCTTACTTACATTAGGCTTAAATGACCTTTAAACCTTAATTATATCTAACCTAAATTAGACTTAATTATCCATTAAGCCTTACCCAAATTAGGCTTAATCTATCTTAAACCTTAATTAAGTCTATCATAAATTAGACTTAATTATCCATTAAGCCTTACCCAAGTTAGACTTAATACATCTTAAACCTTAATTAAGTCAACCTAAATCTTAGGCTCAATTCAAATTCAACCCAATTGAACCTAAGTCAACATAAACCTTAGGTTCAACCAAAATTAAACCTAAGTCAACCTAACTCTTAGGATCAACCCAAATTGAACCTAAGTCAACCTAAACCTTAGGTTCAACCCAAATTGAACCTAAATCATTTTAAACTTTAGGTTCTACCTAAATTGAACTTAAGTAACTCTATAATTCAAGTTCTACCTAAGTTGAACCTAAATGATCTTAAACTCTAGGTTCTACCTTAATTGAGCCTAAACTATTCCATACCTTAGGTTCTACCTAAATGGAACTTAAGTAACATTGAACTTTAGGTTCTACTTAAATTGTACCTAAGTGACCTTATACTTAAGGTTCTATTCAGATTGAACCTAAATGACTATAAAATTTAGGTTCTACCTAAATTGAATATAATTAGCTCTAAATCAAAGCTCCTTTAGGTTCTACTTACATTGAACCTAAACCTTAAGTCTAACTCAAATGAGACTTAACCAAATCTCTTTTAGGTTCTACTTACATTGAACCTAAACCTTAAGTCTAACTCAAATGAGACTTAACCAAATCTCTTTTAGGTTCTACTTACATTGAACCTAAACCTTAAGTCTAACTCATATTAGACTTAGGCCCTGTTTGGCACAGCTTTTTCATCGACGGTGGCGTTTTCAGAACGCCGCCTACCCGTTTGTTTCGAGCGTTCGTTCGGCGGCGTTCTGAACGCTGCGTCCCGCGGTTCGGTTTTTCTTCATTATGCGGATCGCGGGGCGCCTCCTGCGTTCGGCGTTGGCTGTTGGCGTTAGGGCTGCAATTCCTTCTTTTGCCCTTGGTGATCTCCCTCGCGCTCTCCCCTCGCTTCCTCCCTCTCCGAACGAAAGCATCATTAGGGCTCGATTTCTCGTTCTTTTTCCCTCTCCGGTAAGATCTGGATTCGTGAGTTTTATGGATCGATGAATTTTTTTTGGTTCTTCTACATGTACCTGCTTCTATTGCTTCGGATCTCTGAGTTTTGCGAGTGATTGTTTGGTAGTTAACATATTCTTCTAAAACTTCTCTTGATTTGGCATCTGTCTCACAAAGAACTTCCATTACTGGGAAACGTCTTACAAAAAAATTGTTTACATTATCCGTTGCATCTCTATTGAATGCTACAATATGGATTTGGGAAAGGAGTATCTTTATTACATGCTACAATTCGGCCATTCTTTTCTTCATCTCTACCCGATTTCTGTTGGTTCAAATCAGATTATGCATATGACCTTGACATTATGGATTATGCATATCACATTGCAAGCATGACATATGGTAACATCAAATTATTGCTTAGTCGTCTATACATATGATTAGTCAAAAAACTATTGCTTCTGAAATATGAAAATAGTAAGATTACTCATATCACCAGGCAAAATATCATTAGAGAAGCAATTGCCAGAACATTTCTCCATATCGAAGATGTTTCAAATTTTTAAAAACCTGAGACAATTTTTCTGATATGGGGAATGTATGAACAACAAACGAATGCTTCTAGATGCCTTTGAAATTTCAGCAAATATGTAAAGAATCAAGTGGTATGTATGTAGATATTCAAATTTCTGTAACAAGTGTATGACCATATAATATCATCCATATGTTCTCCTCAAAATCTGAGACACAATGCTCAATAGAATTATTCCAAATGGTTTCAGTTAATGGCATTAAATTCAGCAAGTGAATTGATTTCAGCCAATAACTATGTTCTCAGCCAATAACTCTGTTATATGGATCTTGCTTGCCTCTTACTGCTAGCCACTTCATTATTAATTGACACTAGTCACACATCTTGGCATTCAAATGAGATTTACAGTGACATTTCTCCATATCGAAGATGTTTCAAATTTTTAAAAACCTGATACATATTTTCTGAAATGGGGAATGTATGAACAACAAACGAATGCTTCTAGATGCCTTTGAAATTTCAGCAAATATGTAAAGAATCAAGTGGTATGTATGTAGATATTCAAATTTCTGTAACAAGTGTATGACCATATAATATCATCCATATGTTCTCCTCAAAATCTGAGACACAATGCTCATTAGAATTATTCCAAATGGTTTCAGTTAATGGCATTAAATTCAGCAAGTGAATTGATTTCAGCCAATAACTATGTTTTCAGCCAATAACTCTGTTATATGGATCTTGCTTGCCTCTTACTGCTAGCCACTTCATTATTAATTGACACTAGTCACATATCTTGGCATTCAAATGAGATTTACAGTGAAATTTCTCCATATCTAAGATGTTTCAAATTTTTAAAAACCTGATACATATTTTCTGAAATGGGGAATGTATGAACAACAAACGAATGCTTCTACATGCCTTTGAAGTTTCAGCAAATATGTAAAGAATCAAGTGGTATGTATGTAGATATTCAAATTTCTGTAACAAGTGTATGACCATATAATATCATCCATATGTTCTCCTCAAAATCTGAGACACAATGCTCATTAGAATTATTCCAAATGGTTTCAGTTAATGGCATTAAATTCAGCAAGTGAATTGATTTCAGCCAATAACTATGTTTTCAGCCAATAACTCTGTTATATGGATCTTGCTTGCCTCTTACTGCTAGCCACTTCATTATTAATTGACACTAGTCACATATCTTGGCATTCAAATGAGATTTACAGTGACATTTCTCCATATCGAAGATGTTTCAAATTTTTAAAAAATCTGAGACATTTTTTCTGATATGGGGAATGTATGAACAACAAACGAATGCTTCTACATGCCTTTGAAGTTTCAGCAAATATGTAAAGAATCAAGTGGTATGTATGTAGATATTCAAATTTCTGTAACAAGTGTATGACCATATAATATCATCCATATGTTCTCCTCAAAATCTGAGACACAATGCTCATTAGAATTATTCCAAATGGTTTCAGTTAATGGCATTAAATTCAGCAAGTGAATTGATTTCAGCCAATAACTATGTTTTCAGCCAATAACTCTGTTATATGGATCTTGCTTGCCTCTTACTGCTAGCCACTTCATTATTAATTGACACTAGTCACATATCTTGGCATTCAAATGAGATTTACAGTGACATTTCTCCATATCGAAGATGTTTCAAATTTTTAAAAAATCTGAGACATTTTTTCTGATATGGGGAATGTATGAACAACAAACGAATGCTTCTACATGCCTTTGAAGTTTCAGCAAATATGTAAAGAATCAAGTGGTATGTATGTAAATATTCAAATTTCTGTAACAAGTGGTATAGCAGTTTTCATGTTTCTGGAACACCTCATTTCCATCCTACACAATGAAAGTAATATATCCATCCTACACAATGAAAGTAATATATCCATCCTACACAATGAAAGTAATATATCCATCCTACACAATGAAAGTAATATATCCATCCTACACAATGA